TGTGTGTGTGTGTGTGTGTGTGTGTGTGTGTGTGTGTGTGTGTGTGTGTGTGTGTGTACCTGTACAGAGTAGAAACCCTCTCCGTAATGCTGGTCCTGTGTCAACCAGGACACGATGGGGTTGGCGTATTGTATCCTCCCCTTCAAAATAAAACACGTGTTATATCAAAACATCATGACTCGTGGACGTTAACAAAATAAAAGTATGTGTCACCTTGAGCAACACGGTGAGCAGGACGTACGCCGTCGTCTCCACCGTCAGACCACTGGATTGGTCAGGTTTCAGCCAATCTGCTGCTACGCTGGACTCCTGCCAGTACCTGAGTACAGCGGGGTGACCTGTACACACACACACACACACACACACACACACACACACACACATGCATCCTCATTTGGTCAATGAGCCTCTTAGGTCCCCACCAGGATGTGAAAACGTGTACACACACCTTTCTGTCGGGCCAGGTTCTCCAGGTTAGTGAGCAGCTGATTGGCTGTCATACTGTTGGGGTCATGAAGAGTAAGAGCAAAGGTCGCCACCGCACGCACATACACACTCTTGACACCTATGGCATGCTGGGAAATGTATTTTGCTGCAGACCTCATACTGTCATCATGAAACTAAGAGAAAGAACAAGTGGGACAAAGAAAACATTCTGATCTCAGGTTCTGACATTTAACATGTTTCCATCTGCTGTGATGCCTGAAGAGGGAGGAGTCACAGAAATAACTATTCATTCATTTCTTTGTTATAAAAGTTGTAAATGAGTTTTTACGATGCAGCAGAGACAGAGTTAGCACAAAGAAAACAGAAGGATGGAAAAACAGATGGAAAGCAAGTAGAGAACAAACCACAAAGAAACAAAGAGTTCAGAGACATAAACAAGCAAAAACACATAGAGAGACGATACGAGGCCTTCGCTCTGATGTAGAGGAGCGAGGGGCCTTTAGCCTCTCGGAGCTGTTGTGTCGTGACCCTGCTGCACGACGGGAGAACGAAAAGATGACAAGAAAAAGAGTTTGTTCTCACTCTGAGCTGCAGGATCGGGTCTCTGATGCTCGTCGCTCTGCTCAAGGCAATCAACACAAAGGACGTCAGATACACCGACCGCTCGACCCCATCGCTCCCCGCTGCCTGTAGCCAATCGGAGACAACCACACACAGAGTTCACAGAGGTCACAGGGCAGGAGGTCATGTCCGTACAAAGATGAAACAACAGAAGACGTGTGTTTCCGACCATGACTTTGTTGGGTCTGAAGGAGGACGTGTCAGTGAAGGACCCGTCTTGCTGCTGAGTGCTGCGAATCAACCACGCCACAGAGTTCGACAGGGACGGATGGTCCACCGGGACGACCTGATCCACCAGAGACAACGTCTTTACCACCAGAGCGGTCAGCCTGAGAGACGACGCAGAGGGAGAAGATCTCAGAGAACAATATCCATAGCAGAGTTGATTAGTTTCAAACTAAAGCGTAGTTGTTCTGACCAGGTGCTGGGTTTCTGCTTCATCCACATGCTGTAGCTGGAGTCACCACTTCTGAAGGAGCTGATGCTGACCAGACCTACACACACACACACACACACACACACACACACACACACACACACACACTGTAAACACTCAGCACATTGGGCCTGGCAGGTTAGCGTCTTTAGCGTCTGCTCACCCTCTCTGATCTTCTGCCTCAGTTGTGCTGAGTTCTTCTGGATGTCTGGTCCCAGGACGTCCCAGCTCCCTGTTGTCTCCAGGTACCTATACACGTGGACGAGGGGGAGGAGTCCACCCAGCTCCGCCTCTGCTGACCCAGCTGGCAGGTTGACAAGTTGTTTGAGGCCTTCAGGGTTGTGCATCACAGACAAGACCTCATCTAGAACTTCACCTGGAACACCCACATGCACAGAATGAGGATACAGAGCCTGGCATTTACCCAGCATGCTTCTGGTTTCCAGCCTCCTACCTCAACTTGAGTAGAGCTCCCGATTTCAAAATAAAAACTCAGGTCTTACCATTGATTGTGAGCATTCTCTCCACAGCCGAGTTGGGGACGATATTTGTCGGCAATTTGTTCTTCAGCGTCACCGATCTTTTCTCCGAACCTGCGATAGCACGAAGACGCAGAACGTCAGCTGACAACTGCAGAGCATCATGTGCAGGGCGACAGGACAAACTTACCGTAGAGTCCCTGTGGGTCGAGTCTCCCTCCAGAGTATTCCTCTTTCCTCACGCCTTCAGGCTGGAGACACATGGGGGAGATGAGGATGATTCACAGCTTCACATGAACATACACTCTAACAGAGGCCAGCACCCAACTGGTCCAACTCATAAGATCATGGTGACACATGGTGACACATGGTGAACCAACCAACCAACCAGTACTAACCACCACTCTGAGCTTCTTCTCCAGGACGTCGCTGTTGCCTTGTCGGTTCTTCAGGGTGAAGATCAGGGTGTGTTCTCCAGGCTCCAGGCCCAGCAGGGTGAAGGTCACTTTGCGGACACCCCCTGCTGGCAGATGGTTCAAGCTGCAGGGAGTGGAGCGCAGCCCGGCCCCCCCTGGGGCTTCTTCCGACTGGAGTAGACAGATCGCCGGGCCGGCCGTCAGCGTCACACAGTACTGGGGAGGAGACATCGGCAACACACTCTGTTAGCTCTCCATACCCACAACTCCCAGCAGACCCTGAGCATCATGGGATATTTAGTTGGGTGATGTGCACGGTACCATAATGCTGTCGGCCTGGTGGTTGTACACTGAGCCCGACAGCTCGAGCTGTTCTCCTCTAACCACCTGATATGGCAACGGAATGTCAATGCTGAGCGGCAGACTGACCGACACCTGCACCGAGTCGGCAACACACACACCTAGAGGACGCAACGACAAACAGAGAGGGAGGGACTTCAACGTCACAATAAATAGATTCAATGAAGACGATGAAGATGATGAAGATGATGATGATGATGATGACTCACCGTTCCTGAACATGCCGATGGCCTTGATCTCCCAGGAGGTGAGAGAGTCTGGTAGAGTCCTGCTGACCGACACCTGACCTGAACTGAAAACACACACACACACACACACACACACACACACACACACACACACACACACACACACACACACACACACACACACACACACACACACAC